AGCTCCTGCTTGCATCGCCGTGTGAGCGAGGCATCACCCGCGCGGCGGACCGCCTCTAAACCCGCTTCCACGAGAGGAAGCGCATCGTAATATCGCCCGTCGCCCACGCTGACCGAGATGGCGATCCCCTGCACCAAATCCACCAACTTCTGGAGGGGCACGAACGCGGGGTGAGCCACGGGGTCCGGAACAGAAGACCCATGGACTGAACCCGCAGGAGAGGCCGGCAGGGTGCCGACGTCGACGACGGTGGCAGAAGAGCCGACGCCCTCGGAATCGCTGTGATCAGAAGAGGAAGCCATGAGGAAGAGAAGCTCTCTGCGGCAATCTCCTTCTAGCGGATTTTTCTCGAAGCAGTAAGAACTCTGCTGAAGAGAGGCGAGTACTGATATATGTTCGAAAAGAACTCAACGGCTGAGATTTGTTACCCCAAGCGATCGAGCAGTCCAGATGTCCTGCGACGCTTCGAACTCAACGCCAATAAAGGCCATTCCTCTCGAGACCCCAAACCGACAGATCAGATTGGGCACGAGAGGCAAAGCGTTCGGTCGCTTCACCATTAATGAGCATTAATGCGTCCGCAGAGTCTTAGCTGGCAAGCACTTGGACCCGCCGACGGACGCGTGGCACGAACTTCGCCCACAGTTGGATTTCTGACTGTTAGACAAACTCACCACCATATGGGTTTTGCTTGCAGCACAAACTCGCCAGCAGTTGAGTTTGGCCATCTACCCGAACTTTGCCAACAGTTGAGTTCAGCCTCCAAGCAAAACTCACCGCGATCGAGTCTCGCCTGCAGACGAACTCTTCGATCAATTGAGTTTCGCCGGTAATGTGGACTCGTCAGGAGCCGAGCTTCGCCATCTTAGGGAACTCTCCGTCGCCCTAGTTTTGCCAACAGCGTGAACTCATCGGAATAGAGTTTGGCCCTTAAGGTAAACTCGTCATCACAAAGGAAACTTCGCCTGTGACGCGAGATTGCCGACCATTACAGAACAAAACACTGAAGGGCGATGACACAATGAGCAAACACAAACCTCATTGGATGATTCTAGACAGTACATTTGAACAAAGATTATGGTCTTTTTGCAACTGCGAAAATCATGATATTATGTTCAAAAAGAAGCAAAACACGCACCTAGTTTTTAAGACAATACATTTGAACAAAGTTAAGATTTCATAAACAAACGAGTCATAAGCAAAATGTCTTAATACAATCATAAGATCGAGGCCTCAGTCGAACACACTGAAAGTGGAGAGCTCTTCTTTGGCCGCCGCCACCTTTCTCGCGTGGTCTTCCCGAGCCTTGTCTTCAGCAGCCTTCTGAACCCGAGCTTCAGAGTTTGACCTGGCGGCAGCGTCTGCCTGGCGCAAGGCTAGGAGGCGTCGAGTTTTCGTCTCAGCGTTCTTACTGACCTTCACAACGTCAGACTGGAGCCCCTTCAAGTTCGCCTCCGCCTGTCCCAGTTCGGCCCTCAGGCGAGCTACAGTGCGATTGAGGTCGATAATTTGCTCCTCCAGCAAATGTTGTTGGCCCACCCAGAAGTTGGCGGTAGACTCCAAATCCGCTATTTCCTTGGAACGGACCTCCTATTCCCAAGGTTCCTGACGCCTGACATGAGCCAGGCAAAACTCTATGTTGGCTTCCGGACCTTCCCGTAGCAAGGTCTCTAACCCTATCATGCGTGACTCCAAGAGACGGAGTTCATGCATACAACGGGTAGCAAGCCGATTTTCGCCCGATCGCCGCAAATCAACCACGCGATCAAGAAGAGACTGCCTGAAGCTGTCGAAGCTGCCCATGCCCAGGTCGACAAGGGAAATCACCTGCCTCACGGCGCTCTCAAACTCTTTGACGTGAGCCTGCCAGGGCAAGGACTCGGAGGGAACAGGCTCTTGGCCCGGAGTAAGCGCTGTAATGGGCGGAATTTCGAGGCAGGGTTCGGCTCCCGGCTGGGGAGCAGAACCTGAGGCGGCGGAGGTCGCAGGACCCTCAGATTCGTCGTCTGAAATCATAATAGGCTCGGCCGCGTGCTCCTCGGCAATCGGCGCCTCCTCCCGACCTGTAAAGCACAACAAAAACACGGGAAAGCGTCAGAGGAAGAATACCTACAAAACCCACGCGAAGGCCAAGGCAAAAAGATACCTTCGGCCACGGCGGCCTCAGCAGCGCCTGAAGAAGACGGTTCTTTTCTTTTCTTAGAAGCGACCCTCTTCACCTTCGGTGCCATCAGAGGTACGCGGAAGGGAGAATTTGGGTTTACTCTGGGGGAAGACGATGAAAGGAGATGTAGATCCTCTTAACAGAGGGTAAGGATGTTAAATACCCTAAAAAAAATCCTAGGCGGTTACTCGCTACTCGATGGGACCGTTCAAGGCTGAAACAGTTGGGGAGTAAGGCCGAACACATCGGATCTTACCTGGACGACTAGGATCCGACGGTTCCTGGACACGATCTTCAACAATGGCCCGAACTGGGTGTGAGAGACGAAGAGCCCCACTACGCCGCATTCAATGCGAAGCGACGTACCCACGTCTTCTTAGCTGACGTAAGCACAAATCGATACGTGGCCCACCGAAAGCGGAACCTACTTGAGGGCGAATTTGTCATTAAGACATTCGGCGAATCAAAACCAATCGCCCCTCTGGAACTGGAGTCAATTCTAAATCCGCCTGCGGATGAGATCCGCCCGCAGAGGAGACGAGCTCACGGCCGGAATTCGCCGACAGCTAAAGATCGCCCCTCACAACTAACACTCTAGCTAACGCATGTTAAAAGAGAAATGGAGCATGCACAGGAGTAATAGTAACCAAAAACAAAATGATAATTTCATTCATAGAAAGAAATCCTAGTACAACTGGCAATCAAAGACAATTAGGGGCAAATTACAAGGCTTTTAACCGCAGTTCCGCCTCACGAATCTCCCCAGCGTGACGAAGCTCTAGCCTCCGCAGGATTTCTTGGCGAAGATCTTCCTCAGTGCGCGAGGCCAAGTCTTGGACGGTCTCTTTGACGGAATTAGCCGTCAGTTGCCGGCGAGATTCAATGCTTTCCAACTCCTTGGCCGCCTATTCACGAGCCTTCTCTTGAATGGCCAATGAGGCCTGCGCCTTAGCTATAACCTGCTTCAGATTCTCTACCTCCGAAGACAAGCAAGAAACGCGGTTATCGGCCTTCTGTTGCTCGAAGGCCATTCGTTCATCCTCAGCCTTGGCCTGCTCCAACTCTGCTGACAATTTTGCCTCCAGCGACATGGTCTCGTTCAAACGACGATCGTGTTCTTCCACTGCTACTCGGACTTCATCGGATGCAAGATCCACAAGAGTGGAACTCTTCGCACGAAGGGCAAGCAACCGCTGAATAGCTTCTTTCACTTCCTCCTTACGCTGGAAGTAGGGCTTCGCCTGAGTGTGGCCAAGCCTCTTGATTAAGAAGCACACGATATAGTCGATATCCTCTTCGAAACTCTCGAAAGGACAATTCTCCTCCAAAGCGAGCTTGATGCAGCCGGCTAGAGTGTCTTGAAAATCAGCCACAGATCGCGCCGCACTCCTTTTTCGCTCGCGCTCCAAGGGAGAGAGGGCAGCCACCTCCACCGTGGATGAAATCACGGTTGAAGTACCTATCGTCATGACCGTAGAAGTAGGGATTGGCGCCGCCAAAGCCGGTGTGACCAATGACGCCCTCGGAGCAGCGGTCGCAGCATCAACGGTCGCCGCCAACAGAGAAGTGGTCACTTGCAGAGTAGAAGCCTCCCTTTGAAGCGGAGACTCTCATGTTGATGGACGATCCCCAGCCGACGCTTCCGCAGGAGCAGGAGATCTCTCTATTTGGCTGGGCGCATCCTCACAAGCTAACACCTCTTCCTCACTGGATAACGTCTCATGAACCGAGATGTCGTCATCCTCCTCAGATTCACCCGTCTCCCCAGACGAGCGACTCGCCCAAGAAGGAGGATCCTCTTTGCCAGCGACTTCATGGGCAGGATCAGCTACGAATGCACGAAGAGGGTTAACAGAGGCCCCTCGAAAGGGACCCTATTTACAGTTGGGTACGGAAGAATGAATAACGCTAAAACCTATGCTTACCTGAGCCTGTGGGCCCCTCTTCATCTCCAGCCTCCACCTCTTCGTCAGAAAGAATGGAGATCACTTTCTCAACCGCACCTGCATAAGCCCAACACAAGTGTCAAAAGGTGTAAGATCAACGTTACGATCAAGAGTACTGTTGCAAAGATTACCTCCTGATGCGGGCACAGAGGCCGCTAGAACTCCTGTCTGTGACCTCACGCCAGATTGCGGAGGGGCGCCCTTCAAAGTCTCCGGAACTGCCCCCGATGCGGCAGAAGAGGTGGGCAGCACAGCTCCAGACCCAGACGTCGCCACTCCGGGGATACTTACTTGGGGAACATTATCCTGACCTTCCGCCGCTCGGGCGGTCTCGTCAGTCTCATCGCGACGGGCTTTCTTGGCCGCCTCCACTCGAGAACTTTCGGTCGCGGTCTCTCGCTGACGTTTAGAGAGAAGCGAGCTACTCGGAGACAGAAGAGGCGTCCCCATCTGTCCAACTCTTGGACTCTAGACCGGTCTTGGGCGTTCAGATTCTCTTGGTTCACCAGGGGCATCCAACGAGGGACCAGGAGAAGGAACTCGAACCTCGGGAGCCTCAGATTCGTCTAAGCCGGCGTCAAAACTCTCGGTGTCCTCAACTGGATCCTCTGAGAACAGCTCCCTAGCAGTCTGGCGGCCCCTTCGCCTTGAAGAACGGAGAGACCCTCTGAGAGGACGATCGCGTTCCGTCAGACATAAGGTCTGGAACTAGAAACCAGCGGGATTAGCGCTGGCGCCCCGATACCACCGGCAGTATAGGAGCGTGTGGTGCAAATCACGATCCTTCGCGGGTAACTCAAAACGAGCCTGGGTGCCACCAGCATGGGTCCAGAACCATCCCCGAGCCCTATCCACCAGTCCTCCTTCGAAGTGTAGGCGGGGATTGGTGTTGCCCACGTACAATTGGTCGTACCCGAACTGACGGGCAAACCTGCAGGGGATATACGGCTCGAGATAGCACACAGAACCTGTGCGTAGAATGTGATACCCCGACCGAATATTCACCAACCATTAAAAAGCACCACGAGAGAGAGCTGTGTGGTGGTCCGCCGTCGGCACGTCCCTAAGAGACTTGCCGTATCTTCCTCCGCTGAAGTAGGGGAAGAAGCGACGAAAATTGTAGTGGACAAAGTGGGAGAGCGTCTTCTGCGCGTCGGGAATGTCTTTACACTTCCAAGAGCAAGGAACGGAACAAACCTGTCTCCTTGAAGAGTCGCGGGAGCGCTCATCAAACACTCACAGTGGTAAACAAACCACGCCATCAAGTAAGTGTATGGCAGTCCCACTCTGGGATTGGGGGTCCTGATGACTTCCCCTTCCCCTTCGTCGACAGTCGACACACGGCAGAACTGGGCCGTTAGCGTGCAGAATCCTCGATGGATACACGCTATCGTCGCTGACACCAAAGAATAGGACTTCCCGTGGGCTAAGCAAACCGCAGGATACACTACCTCCACCGGGAGCGCCTCGAAGGAATGAGTGGGGACCACGCACCTCTTCAGCCACAACATGAGGTACCCCGCGAACAGAGCCTTCCCAGAAATAGGGACCCGCCCTCGTCATGATCGAGAGCTATGGTGGCTTCCTCTTCAGCCATCCTCCTTTCCACTTCAGCCTGGTCGCACCCGCCTAGAGGAAGAGAAGGATTCCCTTTGACATCGTTCCCAGGGAACAGATAGTCAGCCCAATTCTTGTGACTGATTCCCGGAGTCCTCTTCTTCTTCCCCTTGTGATCCCTAGCCCTTAAGGTACTGAGGCAGATGTGATAATGGCAGAGCAACTCCCACAGAGTTTCTACTACCAAGGGGGAACAGTCGGAAGGCAGATGTGATAATGGCAGAGCAACTCCCACAGAGTTTCTACTACCAAGGGGGAACAGTCGGAAAGCTAGTCGATCTCATCTTGGTCTGGGATGTACTCCTCGTAAGGAAAGTCCCCCAGAGGCAGTCCTGACACGTCATACATCTCGTGAGGGGACATACCAAGTTCATCGTTGGGGGTGAAGAAGGTGCCGCTTTCCGCACAGTACAATTCCAGGATACTGTGGAACTGAGAGGCATTAATCCTCAAACCATGTCGAGTGGCTTGAATGGCCACATACAGCTCCGAATTCCTGAGGTCAGAATTCTCAGCCAGGATGCAGTCGGTGATCTTGGACCACCAAGTATCGCTGCCCGGCGCAGAATATACCCACCCCGAGGCTCTGAAGTCCTTTAGGGGAAAACTCCCACCTGCTCAAAAGAAGCGGTGACGGAAGGTCTCCGCTACTGCCGTCGACTCCCCTACAGGCGGCTCATTGGACAGTAGGCCAGGGCGCAGACCCGTTACGCGCTTACATGAGCCCTCCACCCCATACCCCGCCGTGGAGCCTGTAAAGACACCACAGGTGACCCCGTCCTGAGTGGGGGTTAAGTCCCAGTTCATCACTCGAGGGACCGCGAAAGACCGTAGCCCGACGATCGAGAACCCCCTCGGCATGTCGGGAAGGTAATAGTGAGTCCCCTCTACTATGCGCAACCATCTGCTCTCCTTGAGCAGTAGAGCGGAAGGATCGGTGACAGAATCGCCAAACAAAAACTGAGGCTTCGGTAGCTCCGCCCTGTCCTCGTCTGTTAACACCGCGTCAGTGGTCAACTCACGCAGCGTTAAGTGATGCCCATCAGTGACTCTCCTTGTCGAGCCAACCGGCTTATCGGCGGAGAACACGGGCACCGGACCCAAGGAAGGAAATCGGGGAGGCGCTGGATTACCTGCACCTCCAGCGAACGCCGGTGGCCACGCCCTTTGGAGGGCTGGTCGGAAAAGGTCGCTGCAAAACAAAGTCAAGAAAATCAGGAGGCGAGATGCAGATCCGCTGTAAGGAGCGAGATTCGCCCGACATGACGAGACCCGCTTGCATAAGCCCGTTCGCCTTTACTAGACGAAAGGTCGAACTCGCACTGTCAGAAAACGAGTTCACCTTCGCTGATAAAGACAATCTCGGCCATAAAGTTCTGATCGCCCAACGCGGATGAAGGTAAAATCCGCCTGAAAAGGGGCAGTTTTTACCAGAAATCACGGGACTGCTAACGCCACCAAGGCAAAATCGAGCAGCACTCATCTTCCTGCACGACAGTGGTGAACCAAGCACGAGAAGTTAAAGCAAATTTTTCAACTTACGCCGAGCGCGCCTCAGGCACATTGCGTCCAAGCCGTAAACCGGCGGCAGCGGTCGAGTAGCGTTCGGGACCCTTTCCCTTCACTTTACACCTCTTGGATTTCGGCGCCATTGAAACGAAGCGGGAATTCTTTCTCTTTTGGGAGGTTTTCACACACAGTAACTTTCAAAAAGAGGAGAATGACGAAACCTATTTAAAGGCGAAAGGGCTTGTGTGGCCCTGATGGCACTTGCAAAGCAAGACACTCGCGTTCAAGAGACGTGGTCACGATCGAAATCGACGGCCCAGATTGTCCTTCACAACTCGTTCTACAGTTGCGGAAGAGCCATTGAAAAAGGGAACGGGCCGGTCAAAGCCCGAAACCCGAACCAAAACCCACGACTTGATCTAACGGCCGGGTTCGAAAACCACGGCCACGATGCGTCGTGGGGCGAAACACACGAAGCTGACATCATGTTGTCAAGTCACGATCACCACGACCCGACGAGACCGCGCCGCCTTAGCTGGGAAGCACGAAGCCCTATCGGCAGACACGTGGCTCATCTCCCATCAGATTTGGTTCCGCCCCAAAAAGGAGGGGTCTCGCCTACGAATACTTGGCCTGACCCCACAAGTCGCACGAAATTTGGCTCCCAAAGACTAATTTCGCCTTAACGATTCATTCGCCCTTAAAGGTAAAATTACAAACGAAGTCAATAGAATGACTTCGCTTAAACGGTTAAACCCACGCCTCAGACGGCTAAGGGTTAGAGCAGAAATCTTAGCATTAAGCCTAAGAGAAACTGTTCAGCAACTCATCATACTGAGGGGAATAGTATGGCTAACCCGATTCAAACGATAATTGGTAAAGGCACATCAAACCCGTTGATAGCTGAGGGTTTGCTAAAAATCCTAAAAGAAATCAAATACGCTTGCTTCGCCAAAAATTTCTTCGTTCAAAGTATTCCAGACCACACGCGAGCCGGTTTAGGTCTGAAAACTTTGAAGGGGGTCTTGTAGACGGTAAAAAATACCTCTATGGGCTTACAGGAAATTCGCCTGTGAGAAGAACTCACACGCTGAGTTCTCTAGCACGGGCCTAGACCGTGTAGACGTCAAATGTGCTCGGTTCCAGATTCGCCTGAATGATCGGCTCGCCTGCACGAGTTGAGATCAATTGGAATAGCAGAAATTCGCCTTTCACGCAACTCGCCTGCCCGAGTCTGAAGTCGAATCCGCCTGCAAACCTCAAGGCCGCCAGTACAGCTGGGTATCCACTACCCCACGCGCTGAGATGGGCCTTCCCATCTCTCTCGACCCGAAGGGAGAGGGCACAATACTCCAAGACCGTCAAGCGGCCACGCACAGTACGAAGGACTGGACAAGTGTCGAGTCGACCTGAGCATTCATAAATGCAACTCACCTCGACTGTCTGACTCAGGAGACGGATCCGCCAGCATTCGGCGAACTAACCAAACCCACTTGAGTGCCAGGAACATGCTTTCCCACCTCCCTTGGCCTGAAGAGAGAAGACACGGTACCCCAGGCCCGTCGAATAGCCGCCTACAGTACAAGTGAGCAAACAGGTGTCAAAGCAGCCTGCACCCTCATAAATGCGGCTCACCTCAATTGTCCAGAGGAGGGGCGAGAGCCGCCGGCGCTCGTTGGTTGGTCAGATCCACGCAAGCATCTGACAGCCGTTGTCACACATACGAGGAGGGGCTTTCCCACTCCTACGTAACGTGATGCAGAGCGCAGCTCTTCGAATGACCACTGGTGGTACGAATGGGCAAAAGGACATCTCCGAACAATGTATGGTCACATCCCATAATTCAAGGAGCAGTCAAGCTGTCCTTCTTCCATTTAAAAGCCTCTTTCAGCAAACTTTGAGAGAGGTCGAAAAACTTGGAGAAAAGCAGTTAAGACCAAGTTGTTCGCATAATCCTTGCGTTACAGCACCACTGCGTAGTTCTGAGCTCCGATCGCCGGCGAACCAAGCAGACCTGAACTCCATCGACTTGAGCTTCTACTGTGTACTGAAGCTCTCCAGCAACCTCGATCGAACGGTCCAAGGGAAGCAGACTCGACACAAGCATCGAGCGAAGCGTCCTATAGCCACCTAAAGACCCCACACAAAATAAAGAGGGCATTCCCTCTGCTTCTGTTGTAAACATTTGATTATTAGTTTGTAATAAGCTTTCTTATCAATACAAACGAAGCTCCCTGTTTTTGGGAAATCAAATTTACACCCTACAACTGTATTTCTCAATATAGACATTGATGAAATAATCTATATGGTACAATCAGAAAACT